ATTGCAGTTTTTATAAACTAATTTATAAGATATAAATTGAAAAAAGTAGAATTGAATACAAAAAAATTTATCAACATAAAAAGGCACCATATATTCTTATACATTTACATAAATAGTAGAAAATATTTACATTTATAGGTAAAACAATTATAATATTAATTTTATTCGTCATCAATTACATCTTCATCGTGATCTATGTCATCCTCATCTTCAATTATTGGTGGACTATTATTGCACCCTTCACCTGAGAACCCAGAACAAATAGAGTTACAGTATAAACCAACTTTTCTGCACCCACATGAAACACCGCATCCTTTTTTGCATTATAAAAAAATAATTTTAAAAAATTTATCGGGTGCAGGTTGTTTGTTCATGCGTACGGGTAATAACAAACCATCTTTGGAATACCATCCCCAATCTGTTGCTCTAATATTTTCATTGCCAAGCCATAGACATATGAGCAGATGTTTTATTCTGTTGTATGGGATTTCAAAATAAGAACGCTTAAAATTTGGAATGTATAACGCCCCACTAGCTAATATACCGGTTTTGTAGATTATTATGCTCCGAAATGTACTGTACTATACTAATAGAATTTTCCGGAAAAAAATTCACTGGTTTTTTTAACGCATTTCTTTTAATTTTTAACGATAGAGTGTTTCTTCAAAAACGATTTGTAGAGGTTTTTAAGAGCTACAAGGATATGTGAATTAAATCTTTTTGGAACCCTTGGTTTTTAAATGGGGTGAGTTTAAAGGGCTCGAAAAAGATAGTGCTTGATCGTAAATCGATGCTTTAAACGGCTATATCTCGCCAAATATTCATTGTACAATAAATCTAAATGAAGGATAATTTTAGTCATTAAAAAAGCTACAATTTGGTAATTTGTATTTTTTTCATATATTCAGTATTTTCGGGCATATTTAAAAATAGAAGGGTAAAAAATATGAAATTGTAAATCGTTTCTCGCTTTAAGCTGTACTTTTTCTAACACAAAGCATTTTAAATGGGTCAAACTTCTTGGACGTATTAACAATACATGTACAAAGGGAATTTCAGAAGGGTAAAGATCGATTTTAATTATGGAGGTTAGGGTGTTGTTTCGATTTTTTCGTAAAAAATGAGGTACTGACCTTATTTTCATCATAACTCACTCAATTTTTGAGGTAGAGTCTTTTTTATGATAGATCTATTTATGCTCTTTAAAAAAGGTTTTGTGAGTTTTCTTCCAAAAATGCATCATTTTCCCGATATTTGATTTTGAATCTTTCAAATTTGGCATTTGAAGAAAACCGCTGAACATTGATAGGCCGTATTTCGGTTCCTATTATATCTCAAAAACATTTAAAAAAATGAATTGTATTTGTCTTTTTAAAAGCTACAAATTTGTTCTCTACAATTTTTTTGATAAAATGCACCATTTTCGAATTATTCGCGAAAAATCGAGTAAAGACGTGGATTTTTTCGTCTAAAAGTTATTACTTTCAATCGCGGATAACTTGAAAAATATCATTTTATAAAAAAAATGTATAGCACATTTTTTGTTTAGAATCACTTTTTTAATCGAAACCTGTAGTTAAAACGTAAAAAAAAAAAAATTTTCACCCCGGAGATGGGGTGGCAATCACCCCCTAGGCTTTGGCGCAAATCTTTGGCATAGATTTTGATCCTTAGGCTATTACCTACCTTCTGTTAAATTTCAAGTCAATCCAGGGAGCACGATAAAAATTGCGAGCTGAAATGCTTCATTTTCTGGACTATAACTGGTTTGACAGCATAAATCGTAGATTTATGTGTAGCTTTCAATTTTTATGAGTTCAGAATACAGCAGCCCGCTGAATTGTTGGATTTTTATAATATAATTATTTGACAATATTTTGTTGGCCAACCACCTACTGCAGAATTGAGCCGAAATACATTATATTCCTATGTTCCGACTTTATTTCGTTCAATCTGTATATATATAATATATATATATATATATATATATATATATATATATATATATATAAATTTTTTTTATCATCAGCAAAGTTGAGAAATTTTGAATACTTAATGACTTTCTCAACATCGATAACAAAGAGGACAAAAAGTAGAGGACCACAATGTGACCCCTGTGGCACTCCAGAGAGGATGTCAATAGATTGAGACAACACACCATTTATTTTAATGCTCTGGGTGTTACCCACAAGAAAACTATCATCATTTCTAATTTACTGATTAAATAACACTGATTTACTTTATTGAATGCCTTTGAGAAGTCAGTATAGATGCTGTCCACCCGGTACTTCCTCTCAAAATCTCCCAATATATCATTTTGGTAGACCAACAAGTTTGACACTGTGCTCCTACCCCTTTGAAAGCCATGCTGTTGGAGTATTATTATATTATTTGTTAGTTTTGATAAGTGAGAAGTCACTAGTTTGTCTAGAAGTTTTGGGATTGCTGACTGTATACAAATTCCTCAGTATTTTTCAATATCTTCCCTTTTACCTGACTTAAAAATGGGTACAATATAACTGTTCTTCCAAAAAGGAGGGAACTCACCAGTCATAAGAGATAAATTATAAAGATATTTTAGGGGCATAGTAAGAGAGCATAGACAGTGCTTTAATAATACTGGTGAGATTCCATCAGGCCCCGAGGAGAATTTGTTTGGAAGTTTTCTTAGTTCATCAAACACCGATATAGTGTCAACTTGAATTAGGTTTACAGGGTCAATGTGTCTGACACAGTTTTCAAAATCTGGAATAGGAGCTCCTTTATCTTTCTCATATACACCAGAGAAGAACTCAGCAAAAAGGTTAGCAATTTCGATATTGTCCTGTGCCCTTCTGTTACCGAGATACATTTCTTGTGGGTAACTTGAAGATTTACGAAGTCTGCCAATGTATCCCCATTCCCTGGGGTTATTACTAAAATGTTTTTCAAGAGATGAAAAATTTTGTTGCTGAAAAGTGTATGTTCAACTTTACATTGATCACGCAGATTAGAGAACAATAAGTAGTCCTTTAAAATAAAAAATACAAAATGTCTTACAAAGTTGAACTAGAAATAAAAATTTATTTCTAGTTCAACTTTGTAAGACATTTTGTATTTTTTAGAAGCTCTTGATAAAAATTGTAATCACAATTGAAAGCTCGAGTAAAAAATAGTCAACAAATAGCCCCTTTTATTGACTCCAACCCATCAAAAACAGTGCTATATTTTTTCCAAACGAGTCACAAGTACTTCTTTTTTCTTACTCTTATATATATATATATATATATATATATATATATATATATATATATATATATATATATATATGTTTGTTTTGAGGTTTCCGCGGGAGCTATATGTGCTGTCACTATTTTTCCGGGTTTGACTCCGCGTTGTAAAGTGCTGGTTTTCTTGAAAACCATTGTTTTGGCGACGTTTCGGCAAGGTCTCACTTGCCATTCTCAAGCCTGGTGGATCTACTTCTCGTTGTTACTCGATTAGTACTGGTCGACTGGGCATTTCGGCGCTCGTTTAAATACTCTCTCGGCGGCGCGCGGGCTCTTGTGATTGGTCCTGCCTGTGTGCGAGTGGGCGGGGCCTTGTCTGGCGGTATATATATATATATATATATATATATATATATATATATATATATATATATATATAAAATCAGTTTATAACATTCTACGCTGTCTTCTCATTTCCAGTCTCCATTTATCTCGGTTGTTCCAGAGGTTTTCTTCAACCCCCTTCTCTTCTCCCTTTTCCCTTAAGTCTTTATCGATTCCTTGGTATATAGATTCCTCCTATTATAAGCCTCAAATTCAGTTTAATTTCCACCAAAAGTTGTTCTATGTTAAAACAAATTTGACTTACATATTAGTTTAGAGGGTAGGTTTTTCTTGATTGCAATATACACTCCTCCACCACAATGTCCAATCCATGCTGATAGCGGTCCTGTCTATAAACATTATAGTTTAATAGATCAGTCTCACTAAACAGAAACTTTCCAGATAGCCACGATTCAATCAAAATAACAATATAATCATTTAGTAGCTAAGAGTCTGTTAACTGAGAGAGTTTAGTTTGAAGTCCACCAACATTATGAAAGTGACATTTTAGGTTACTTCTCAATTTCTTGGCTGGTTAACTGTTGTTTGATGAGTTGATGTGTTGGCTAATGACTGATTTTGGTAGCATCAACATTTCTATGGTAGTTAAACACAAACTTCCTGAAAAGGACATCTGGGAGCCAAAAATCACTATTCACTATTGTCGCGTACTCAGTAGGAATTTCAAATCTAAATGAGTTAAATTCTTCATTAGATTTTAACAGTTTAACATACATGTCTTTTTCATTACCAATATTGGCAGCTTTCTTTATGTAATCTTTTAAAACGGACTCACCAACTGAGTTTTGCACCCTACCTAGGTAAAACCATGAGTGTTTAATATGATTTGCTTTGGGCACACCTTTTAATTGGTCTGAGCAGGCACCACTTCCGCAAACTAGTGCATATGAAGATTTTCTGGGAGCATTATGATGGGTAGCTTCACTGGGCCTGGGATTACTCAAGAGCCTGTGTAGCCCTCGGCACAGCAGAACTTATGACTGATGCAGTAGAAGGTATGTCACTCAGATTTTCAGTGGGTTCATTATCAATTTTACTCGTCAGTATGGTTTGTCTATTCAGCACAATCTCTTGTTGGGCTTTTTGTATAGCCATATTCAAACCTACAAACTACTGGATAGAGTAGAGATTAAACACTTGTACTTGTATACAATATTCATATAAAAAATAAAATATGTATGTATATTCAACTCCATTGACTCTAGTCCTGTTTGTTGGATAAAATGAATTACTAAATTATAAATTCGCTTTTAAGATTTTTGTTATAAGAAACATCTCATTTATGTACCATTAATAAAGAATAAATTTTCCTTTTTAATTTCTTTCTTCTACACATTATACATCGAAATTGAATCAACACTTCATTGAAATGTTTTTCTGTTTTAGCCGCCCAAATGTAATTTGAAATGAAGCGTCTGCGTGTGGACGAGACTGTGAAAGAAGGTAGTGAACCTCCATTGTCAGGCAGTGGCATCAGCCAAGGTGGAGCCCTCTATCACCAATCGCTACCGAACGTGGTAACAGGACCATTGTCTTATTCAAATACTCCCGGAAGTACAGTGAAAGTAGTAAGTGAAGGCATGCAATCAGGATTGTATCCACCGACTCCACCTGTCAGCTATGGTCATCCGTTGCCTGCTGCTACCACTCCCCATTCTCTAAAACCACCAGCAATGTCCATCCCAGTTGGTGGACATTCACAACTACGAACAGCAGGAGGTTCCCCCTCAGGTGCTGGAATGCAGGAGTCTGCACAGCAGCAATCGCCCAGTACTACTAATTTTCAAAGGTTAAAAGTTGAAGATGCCTTATCCTATTTGGATTTAGTAAAATTCAAGTTTGGTGCTAAGCCTCAAGTTTACAATGACTTTTTAGACATTATGAAAGAATTTAAAAGTCAAACTATTGATACACCTGGAGTTATTACAAGAGTATCAAATTTATTTAAAGGATTTCCCGAATTGATTGTTGGTTTTAATACATTTCTTCCGCCAGGGTATAAAATTGAAGTGCAGCGTAATGATCAAGGATATGCTTTTCAAGTATCAGTTAGTATGCCTAGTCCAACGGGTAGCATAAATTCAGGATCTCAGGAGCATCGTTCTGCAATGATTCTTAAAGGTTCTGGAACTATTAATGTGTCTGGCCAGCAAGCACCATCTACACAACCACTAACTATTACTCAGCATATGACTCCAGTTACTCCTCAAGCTCCTCAACAACCACAACAACCACCTATTGTTCATCACACCCCACCATATGGAGGTAATGCTGCTCCACCTCTGTCTTATGGGTCATTAACACTATCAGCAGCTCAAGCTGCAGTAACTCATGCTCTTCAAGGACGTACAGATACTCCACAAAACCAACCAGTGGAATTCAATCACGCTATCACCTATGTTAATAAAATAAAAGTAAGTATATAGTTATATTATTTCAAAGTTATAATTACTTATTAGAAAGATCTATTTGTATTGAAAAGTCTGTCAAACATATCATAGTTTTTATTTACGTCAGAGATGGAAAATTATATTTTTCGCTCTAGAATTTATAATTTTCAGGGAAACCGTGAAAAGATTATGTAAAACCTTACTTTTGTTGTTAGCGTTAAAATCAATAAATAATTGATTGCGATATTAGCGATAAATATGTTAATATTATTTGCAATAATGGCCGTGACATATAACAGCAATACTTACTTTCTGTGTCCTCCTCTGATTGTATTTCCAGCGGGTCACTCCACTCCGCAACCAGTTTAAAAGTTTCCACATGGAGAAAGATAATAGTAGAAGAGCTGGTAAACATTTTTGAGTAGGCATTTGAGGCATTCTGAAAATGTTTCAGATACCTCTGCCACAATCTTCTAATTGAGTCATTGCTATTGAAATGCACATTTTCAATTTAAAAAAAATATATGTTAAACTTAAAAGAAATTAACAAACGTGAGAAAATACGAATCTATATAATTATTGAAACATGTTTAAAACTAAAAAAAAAATATCAGTTTTAAAAATGGAATGTGAAATTGCATAATTATAATACTGTAGAAACAGAAACACTTAAAATATAAATATTACGCGGCAAACAACTTTGTACAATGAAATGGTTGATAAATCGTAATTTTTAGGAATGACAAATTTGTATTCATGAGTTTTATTTAAAAACTTTACAGTGTAATTATAATCTTGGTCAATATTTAATAGCAGACAAACGAAAGTTTTACTATACTTTTTATCGAAGATAACCAGAATAAAGTTATTCATTTTTGGTCTATTTTAATATTTTGATTTTGACATCATACACTTATCTAGAGTCATTTCATCACTATCCGAGTCTGATGAGTGTATATCATTATGAATTCGTTTTTGTTCTGGGAGCTCTACTTCTTTTTTTATTCTGTTTTCCATATGTACCAGGTAATACTACTAATTTTGTTAAGAAAAACTTAAAAAAAGATAAAGCGGAAAGAAATAATCCTAAAGCTAAAAACAAATAAAGAGTCGACGGGAAAAACGATGAAACTCAATTTTTGGGCGAAAATGAGTTTTCGCAACAGAAATATAGGTTTTTGTGAGCCGGACTCATTGGTATACTTTGCAGTGAAAAATGCTTAGACTCACGAGATATCTACTGAAAAAGAAACCACCTGTGGGGAAATAACGATAGGGTTCCTAGCGTAAGCGCGAAAAATGATGAGGTTCCAATATTCCCGGTAATTGCCGGCAGTATATTAGTCATCGCGTCAGTCAACTTTTGATGTTTATGAAGTGTGGTTTGTTATTAGATTCGCAGAAAAACTCTGAACGGTACAAGTGATTGTGACAAAAAGTTAGACTAGAACATTAAGTTTTGTGTGAAAATTATAGGGAATAATTATTTAGGTTCGGTATTACGGTGAAATGGAAGAAAAACCCAAAAAACGAAAATCGTACGGAAGAATGACTGACGTTGCTAAGAAACTGAGGTTATGTAGTCATGAACTAGGCCCTGACTGCAAATGTAAGCGTTTAAATTGTTTCGTAAATGTCTCGGATGAAAATAAGTTGCGAATATTAAGAGATTTTAACAATAATTATTCTACATATGACGAACAAAACACGTATCTTGCTGGCTTGATTACTGTTGTACCCGTAAAGAGACGTCGTGCAAAAAATCCAGAGTCTGGCGTAAAAAAATTCAATGACGCCTCATATTCATTCAGAGTAAGGTGTACTGATGCAAGTAACGACCAAACACTGTGTAGACATCCAGGTCTGCTACAAAGCTTTTCTCGCATTGCATGGAATTTCTGGTCGGCGGGTACAATCTATTCAAAGATCACTTAAGTGTTCTGGTAGCTCAGCAAAAGATAAAAGAGGTTTACATAAACACAGGCCACACAAACTTCCAAACTCTGTAATTGACGACGTGTGTAAACACATATCCTCTTTTAAAGGCAGATCAAGCCGTTATAGCAATTTAAAAACTTCTAAAACATATCTACCTGAAGAACTAAACATCACCAAAATGTATTCTATGTTTAAGAAAAAGTTTCCACATACAAATATATCCTACGATTCGTACAAAAAAGTATTTAATGAAAAGTACAACATAAGTTTCGGATATCCACGCTCCGATACTTGTTCGCAATGTGACGAAATGAATAGTCAGTTAAAGACGCTACAGTCCAAAATAAAAATATCTACAGAAGACAACGAACTAAATAGTTTAAATGTACAATTTCGGAGGCTTGAATTTGATAGACAACTTCACTTAACTAAAGCTGAGACATTTTACCAGAGAAAAAGACAGGCCAAATTATCTGCAAGAGCAGATGTCGCAGTTGAAGCTATCTGTATGGACTTTGCCAAGAATTTGCCAATCCCTAATATATCCACCAACGACGTTTATTATAGCAGACAACTCTCATTATACCTATTTAACGTACACGTGTTATCATCACAACAGAGTGTATATTTTGGCTATCCAGAAACCGTGGGCCAAAAAGGAAGTAATAACGTATGCTCACTGCTTCATCATTTTCTCTATAACTATTTACCCGCTAATGTGAAAAGTTTAAAACTATTTGCAGATTCATGTGGAGGGCAAAATAAAAATTATACTATATTCCGCTTTCTGCATCATGTGATTCACTATGAAAAAGGCTGAAGATGTTCTTATAACATTCTTCTTTCATCGTTCTTATAACATCTTTCTTATTTTGCGACGGATTTAAATGTGGGATATCAATGGTACCAATTTTATAATGGCAATATTCTTGAACACTACATGTCAAGCATAAGTTTCTTGCCTCTAGTAGATTATAGGAGGATTTTATCCTAACAACTTCTCTTATGGGTCATTACTTTCAAAATGTACATTTTGATGTTTTCTCCACCTTGCTTTATGGTGTTGAAGCCTGGACAATGACAGAAGCAACACAAAAAAGAATCCAAGCATTCGAACTCTGGTGTTACCGTAAAACGCTCAGAATATCCTACATGAGCCATACGACAAATGCGGAAGTCTTGCGGAGGATGAATAAGGAAAGAGAGCTTATGCTTATAATAAAAGAACGGAAAACACAATATTTTGGTCACATCATAAGAAATCAAAAGTATGAACTGCTCCAACTTATAATCGAAAGCAAAGTCAATAGCAAAAGAGGACCAGGAAGAAGACACAACTCTTGGCTTAAAAACCTACGGCAATGGACGAACATGACCTCCATAGAACTATTCAGGGCTGCTACACATAAGATTAAATGGGCAAATGTAATGGCCAACGTCCTTAAGGATAAGGCACCGTAAGAAGATTAATGAGAGAGGAAGGATATGAATTCTCAATCAGAATATTTCTTAATAATTTAAGGGATTACCTTCGATTAATCGGATGTTTCAACCTATTTAGCCGACAGCTTGGAGCTTTAATAAGATTTAATTTATATTTAAAAGGATGACAGAAATGGTGGTTAAGGAACCTATTGGAGGCCATCGGTTTCGTATACCAACTTGTGGTTAGGGTGTTATCTCCCATTCTAATGACACGCATGTCTAAAAAGGGGAATACTATTGGTGACAGTGTCCAACAGTGAAATGTAAATGAGGATCAAACTCATTAAACATAGACAAGGTGACCTGAACCTTGTCTGGAGGTAAGGCTAATAATAAATCATCCACATACCGTTTAATAAAAAGAATTTGAAAATCTAAAAGACCCAAATGGTCAGATACCAAATCATCCAGTACAGTTAACTAGGATGGGAGAGATTGAGGAACCCATAGGCGTGCCAAATATTTGGAGATAATATTTGTCATCAAAGACCAAGAAATTAGTGTCAAAAACTAGTTGCAACAGCTACTATATATACTACTCACCCTGATAATGCAGCCAAAGGAGGTAGTGCAGTAATAATCAAGGAAAATATTATGCACTATCACGAAATTGGGTACAGAACAAAAGAATTTCAGGCCACATCAGTAAAAATTAAATGTAAAAATTATGAGGTAATCGTCACAGTAGTTTACAGTCCGCCAAGACATGCCATCAAGAAAAATCAATACGTAGATTTCCTGACCAGTCAAGGACATAGATTTATCCTTGGAGGAGACTTCAATGCAAAACATACGCATTGGGGGTCACGACTGACTACAACCAAAGGGAAAGAACTTTTAGAAGCAATGAAATACATAAAATGCGACGCAGTATCAACGGGAAAACCAACATACTGGCCTACTGACACAAATAAAATTCCAGATCTTATCGACTTCTTTGTAGTTAGAAATATTTCTACAAATTACATAGAGATTGAAGAGTCATTTGATATGACCTCGGACCATTCTCCAATTATTCTCACACTCAGTGACACTGTTATCAAAAAAGAAAGCCCCCCTAGACTTGTTAACAAAAATACTGATTGGAAAAGTTTCCAGATAGACCTTGAGAAGATTAACCTCTCAGTGCCATTAAGAACCATTGATCAACTAGAAGCAGAAGTAGAATTACTCAATAAAAATATACAACAAGCTGCTTGGAACAACAGCACGAACAGTGTCGAAAGAATAAAAGGTAATAACTACCCGAAAGAAATCAGAGAAATGATAACCGAAAAAAGAAAACTAAGACGCAAGTGGCATCAGTCTAGAGCACCAGTTGATAAAACTAGATTAAATAATGCCACACAAAAATTAAAAAGAGAAATACAAAAAATTAAAAACGAATCGGTTAACATTTACCTAAGTGAACTATCAAATGATAGCGCTACTGATTACTCTTTGTGGAAGGCTACTAAACGATTAAAAAGGCCAATCTTACAGTATCCACCAATTAGAAATACTAATGGTAGCTGGGCAAGAAGCAATATACAAAAGGCCAACAGGTTTGCTGACCACCTAGAAAATACTTTTCAACCAAATGAAGAACAAGAAAGAATAAA